AGACTCGCCAAGAGATAAGGGCTTCTGTAAGCTTGTAAGACTGACATTCACCATCATTACCATGGTCTAAGCTATGCCTTTCTGACCATTCCCTGGAGCCATAGAGTTCTCAGGAGGCCCTTAGGGGATGCCAGGCTGAGAAGAGATTAAGGGAGCCAGTTATATCCCCATCCCCACCACACATACACAGACACACACAGACACACACACACTTAATTCAGAGACATTCTACTTATAGATGCCATTTCCTTGCATGGAATACATTTCCTCCAGAAATTCACATGGCTCACTACTTCACTCAGGTTTCTTCTCAAATGTCACTTTTTCAGAGAGCCCTTTTCTTGATCACTCAGTCTTGATCACTCAGAGAGGTCTTTTCTTGATTATCCCCAGTCCTGCCCCCACTTCCAGTCATTCTGCCTCCTAACCTTACAGTTTCCATGTATTCGCGTATTTGTCTGCTGCCAGTGTGCTGGCTTCTCCATTAGAACCTAAGTTCCAAAAGGGACGGAGATTCTGCTTAGTTCAGCATGATATCCTTAAGGTATAGAAAAGCCTGGCACATCTTAGGCACAAATAAATATTTGTTTATGAGTAAGTCATATATTGAGATTATTTTTAAGGTTGCTAAAAATATTTGAAAGCCAGTGATCTCCACCCTTGGATTTAGGTTTCTGCTCTAAGCTTATAAACGGTCTTCCTGACTTTGGCTTTTCTGCCATTGTTTATGTTCCACACACCTTTATGGATTGACCTTCTATCTCCCATGGGGCTTATGTCAATTTGCAGCCTAGAATCTTACCTTCTGTGACACCTCATGCCTTCCAAATGTTGTCAAGGGCCTTTTGCCTGACATTTAATACCCACCCAAATTTGTCTCACATGCTTTCCATCATTAATTCCCAGTATTTCCCAGCATTAGTTTTTTAGACATCAATTGCTTTTTTCTCTTTTCTGTCTTTATTCATGTGTTTGCTTATTCTTCAAAGCCCCACTCAGATGCTTTCCCTGATGGTATTAATGGAAAATAACCTTCCAAAGCCACTGATTTGCATTATTCTGATGGCATGTGTCCCATTCCCATTTGTTTTACAAATATTTGTTATATATATCTTATTTCATTTACTGGCTTGTAAATATCTTAAGAATGGGAATAGTCACTTACCCACTTAGAGAAGTAAACAATCACTGAGTAGTCATTGAAAAATGGATAAAATAAAGAATTTTGTTTTTACTTCTGTAAGTCCCAAGTAAAATCCATTCCCCTGTCTCTGTGCTTGATCGAACTTATTTGAGTGCTCATAAAAAGACACATAACAAATAAGCCAAATATGGCACAAGTATAAGATGTACATAGAGGAGTACTATTTCTAGCTAATTTTGTTATGGTAGTTTTGGGATTGGGTCAGCAAGAAGTTGGAAAATTGAATATCTGACTGTGACTTCCACTTAGATTGTTAGGTTAAGCCCAAGGAAAGCACGGTAAAGAAAAACATGCTGTTTCTTTGAGTAGAGAAGATGAAAGCTCTGTTTTTGTCTGAGTTCTTTGAATAAAAGCAGGAATCTAGAGTTTTCTTTTTTTTCCCTTAATTTAGTTTTTATTAGAACATAGTTGATTGTACAAATCTGTGGGGTACAGCATTGAATGTCAATACCTGTGTGCAATATATGATGTTCAAATCATGATAATTAGTATATTCAACATTATACAATGTAATCAATTTTTGTAGTCCTTTACCAGTTCCTCCCTTACCTGCTTCCCCCACCCCTGGTAACCAGTAACCTCAGTTTACAGCAACATGGATGAACTTAGAAAAAATTATAAGTGAGAAATAAGCCAGGCACAAAAGGAGAGATATGTCATGTCCTCACTTAACAAGTAGGAGCTTAAAAAAAAAAAGTGAATAAAGAAACATGCTTGCTTGTTTTGAATGAGCTACTTTAAAAATGTTGGCTGTAACCAAATCATGTTCAAAAGCAAGGTTTTAAAAAAAATTTTTTTTATATTGAGATAGTTGACATATGGTGAACAACACGTATTTAAAGCATACCATTTG